GAGCTGGTGATTCACTTTACAATCCAATCAGTGAAACGCTTTGAGACATCTCAACAATGTGATAAGGCGCTACATCAAATGCAGTGATGGTTATGATCAAACATACACACAATCCCAACAAAGTTGTCACTCAGTGGGGAGGGTGAGGATTTGTCTATTTGTCACTGTTTGCAATCTCCCGAGGGAGGTGCACCGTGCCTGGAGATACTGCAATACCAGGTCGATGCGTGGAGTGGACGGAGCAAGCCCCTATTCCATCTCCCTGCTCCAAAAATCAATTTAATATATGGTCCCCAGATAGGGGACGTATCAGATATTAAACTGATAAGAACAGATACTACACTTGATCTTAGCCAAAAGGCCGAGAAGCGATAAAGGCTCTCACTCGCTGTCCCCTCCACAACTGCCTCCGCTCCTCGCCTCAGCTTTCATATGTTTCTCCCCATAAACAGACAGCCCCATCCCCAACGCCCGTGTGCAGTCTCTACACCTCCCTCCCCACGGTCAGCTGCCACACACCCTCCTTGCCCTACACACCCCCTTCTCGCCCCTCTTCCCCCGCACTCCTGCCTGCCTGCCTGCCTGCCTGCCTGCTGCTCGCTGCTTTCCCTCTGCTTCTGCTGCTGCCTCTTACCTCATTTCCCTACGCCCTCCTTCACAGTGCACACGTCACTTATTTGATTGATTCTCGCTCCCTCCCTCGCTACTCTGACTCAGTGGCCGCTCTACACATTAGCTCCTGCCTTGCCTGCCTGCCTGCCTGCCTGCCAGGCCCTACAGCTCACACAACAACTCCTGCTGATAATAATCAGCCTTGCATTTCATATAGCGCCTTATGTCGTCCCCACAGTCAATTCATTTTATAGTAGATTCTGTGATATGATTTAAGACATCTCAACGACGTGGATATGGCTCTATGTCAAACAAAAGGATACTATTATCATTAGGGGGTTTGGCAGATTACTTTGCTGGGGACAATAATTAATGCCTTTCAAAATACTAAATCTTCTCCGCTTGTAAAAGTTTTCCCTTTCCTGGTTCACTTTGTGGTTTCCCTCCATTTCTATTGTGTTGTATCTGAGATCTCAATTGTTTTTGGTCCGAGATTAACAAATCTCTTAACTGTATTGACATCAGTATTTGTGCTGGTGAATGTCCCTCATTGTCGTTCGGCGTGTTTCTGTAGGCCAGAATTGCCAGGTGCTTATCTGCCTTTGCGTTGTCTTTCTTTCACATTTTCTCTATAGTCTGTATTTCCCAATCCACCAGACCATCGCTTTGGGGATACCCCGGTGAAGTTGTTTTGTGGTTTTTCTCCCACTGGCTTGTGAATGTCTTGTATTCCTTGCTTGAAAATTGGGGCCCATGATCACTAATCATTTCCCTTGGTATTCCTGGCCAGGCAAAGATATCCTTGGCAATTTCCGCTTTAGTTTCGGATGTTGTGTCATTCAACTTTGTATATTCACTAATAGCTGTAACCATTGCAGCTTCGCTTGTAACCACGAGGTCCAATATGGAATGTAGATTGACACACAGACAGACACACAGACAGACATTTCATCTTTATTTATACTCAGCTGAGAGGACTCCTGTGGGAGGACAATCAGTCTCTCTCAGTCTCCCTCTCTCTCTCTGTCTGTCTGTCCCACATGAGAGGACTCCAGCTCCCATGACAACCAGAAAACATGCCATACATTTGTTGTAGAATACAGATGTATCTCTCTGAATGGTGTGTGCTTTCGTAAAATCTTTACTTATTTATGTATCCAACAATGGACATACAATAATAAATAATATTTATTATTATTTATCTGCCAATCGACTAACAATAAGAAATAATAACTTATCTATGTTTCTCCCACAAATATACAGTCAATTCACTTCACAGTATATTTTGTGAAGGGCTTTGAGACGTCTAGAAGACATGAAAAGCACTATATCAAATGCAAGGATTATTATTATTATTAATCAGGCCCTACAGCTCACACAACAACTCCTGCTAATAATAATCAGCCTTGCATTTCATATAGCGCCTTATGTCGTCCCCACAGTCAATTCATTTTACAGTAAATTCTGTGAAGCGCTTTAACACATCACAACAACGTGAAAACGCACTACGTCAAACAAAATAATAATTATTATTGTTAGGGGGATTGGCAGATCGCTTTTCCGGGGGCTATAATTAACACCTTTAAAAATGCAATAAAATAAAATTTTTCAACCATAAGATCACCCTCAGTGTTTCAGAGTATCTGACTAGCAATGTTTTGCTGTTATTGACTTCAGTAGTTTCATATCAATCTTACATTATGAAATTAACACAATGATGGACTTGTATATGTTACTTATAATGAACAATAATGATCGTTGTATTTGATAACGCACCTTAGCAAATTGTTGAAATGTCTCAAAGCATTTCACAGGATTTTTACTGTAAAGTAATATTTTTGGCTGTGTATTTATTTGTAGGTTAACACAAGAGTCAATTTGTGCCCACAAATGCCTCCCAACCAGACATGAAGTGAATGAACCATTTTATCTGGAGGATTGTTGCCTTGGACTACGGGAGAAAGAAATTCCCTTCCCTTTTTGATTAGTACCATAGCGTTTGTAATCTGAAGGCAGATGGAACCTTGGTTGATCATTTCATGTGAAGGACGGCATCTCTGACAATTGCTGTGTTGCTCCAGGACTGAAGTGGAGTATCAGCCTGGACTGTGAAAGTCTCAATGAGGAGCTTGAACCCACAATAATAATGGTTACATTTGATATCTTTCCTGTCAAAGCACTTCACGAAACTTCAGTGGAGAGTGCCGTTCTATATATTTTTGGAGGTGAACACAGCAGGCAATTTGTGCACAGCAATGTCCCACCAATAGCTATGAAGTGAATCATGAAGTGAGTTTACCTGGGGGTTTGTTGATAAGTAGAACAGGCAGACAAGACCACCAACAATGCAATGTTCCCCTGCATTACATTGGAGTGGGAGTTGAAAGTCCCGAAGTAGGACTTGAACCCACAACATTTTAACTCGGAGGCGAGATTACTATCCGGTCAAGTTTATCAAAGAAATTGAACTCTGCTTTTTGTTATTTCACCCTTACATAAATCACTTAATGACCTAATTCCATAATCTTGTGCTGCTTAAATGTGCTCCTTACACAACACAAAGTTATATAATACACAAATAGAGAGGGAGAGCTGCAATTCAGTTTATTACCAATACTCATCTCCATATGATAACTGATCATATGATACCTTCAAAGTTATTCTCCACCTAAGATTGGGTGTCTGCTTAGGTTGGCCCAGGTTTCCTAACGCTTTTCATGTCATTTTTAATGTGTTCTTCTTTGGCCAGGGGAGTTCTACCTTCACCAAAATAACACAGACAAGAGGAAAGCCCATTTGAAAATAAGTGGTACTTTCCTTTCGTGCAAGTTGAACAGCTGCCACCTGGTGCTGCTGTATAGTTTTGCAGCACCTGCTTTTATCATTCTGTAAAGGGTTGTTTTGGCCCATTGCACAGAAAAGCAACATCAAATTAATTTATATATTTATATATGCATTTATAGAGCTCCCTTCACACCGGGTAGTGTCTCCGAGTGCTAAACTGTGGCAAAGTTTGATACTGAGTTGAAGAGAAAGGGAAAGGATGCTGAAAATCAATACGAGAAAGGAGTTTCTCTCATGCAAAGAATCTGTTGTGTTCCCAACACTCCAAGTGTAGAAATTTATTTTATTCTTGGTTCACAAGTTACAAATCAAATAATCCAATCCAAAACCCTCTGGTCAGTTCTCCACGCTTCCTGCTTTCTGTCTCCTGATCCTCTTTCACTGGTCCTTCATGTGTTGTATCTGAGGTCTCAATTATTTTTCATCTGAGATTAACAAATCTCTTAACTGTATTGACATCAGTATTTGTGCTGGTGGATGACCCTCATTGTCGTTCGGCGTGTTTCTGTAGGCCAGAATTGCCAGGTGCTTATCTGCCTTTATGTTGTCTGTCTTCCACATTTTCTCTATACAACAACAAAAACAACAACAAGATTAGCCTGTATTTCCCAATCCACCAGACCATTATACCATTATATATATAGTTATATATATTATATATAGATGATACCCCAATGAAGTTGTTTTGTGGTTTTTCTCCCACTGCCTTGTGAATGTCTTGTATTCCTTGCTTGACCAATTATCACTAATTATTTCCCTTGGTATTCCTGGCCAGGCAAAGATATCCTTGGTAATTTCCGCTATAGTTTCGGATGTTGTGTCATTCAACTCTGTATATTCACAAATAGCTGTAACCGTTGCAGCTTCGCTTGTAACCACGAGGTCCAATATGGAATGTAGATTGACACACAGACAGACACACAGACAGACATTTCATCTTTATCTATACTCAGCTGAGAGGACCCCTGTGGGAGGACAATCAGTTTCTCTTAGTCTCCCTCTCTCTGTCTGTCTGTCCCACATGGGAGGACTCTAACTCCCATGACAATTAGAAAACATGCCATACATTTGTTCTGGAATATAGATGTATCTCTCTGAATGGTGTGTGCTTTCGTAAAATTGTTACTTATTTATGTATCCGACAATCGACTAACAATAATAAATAATATTGATTATTATTTATCTGCCAATCGACTAACAATAACAAATAAAACTTATCTATATTTTGCCCACAAATATACAGTCAATTCACTTAGCAGTATATACTGTGAAGCGCTCTGAAACGTCTCAAAGACATGAAAAGCGCTATATCAAATGCAAGGATTATTAATATTATTATGAATCCTATCAGTGTAGCTACCAGGGACGTTCTCCCGACATGAAAGGCGCTATACACATGTAATGTGTTGTTGTTTAATAATAATAATCCAGAATGAC